CTTGGGGAGGGCCTGGGTCTTGGGGAGGGCCTGGGTCTTGGGGAGGGCCTGGGTCTTGGGGAGGGCTGGGTGTGGAAGGGCCTGGGTCTTGGAGAGAGCCTGGGTCTTGGGGAGGGCCTGGGTGTGGGAGAGGCCTGGGTCTTGGGGAGGGCCTGGGTCTTAGGGAGGAGCCTGGGTCTTGGGGAGGGCCTGGGTCTTGGAGGCCTGGAGTCTTGGGAGGGCCTGGGTCTTGGGGAGGGCCTGGGTCTTGAGGAGGAGCCTGGGTCTTAGGGAGGGCCTGGGTCTTGGGGAGGGCCTGGGTCTTGGGAGGGGCCTGGGTCTTGGGGAGGGAGCCTGGGTGGAGCCTGGGTCTTGGGAGAGCCTGGTCTTGGGGAGGGCTGGGTCTTAGGGAGGGCCTGGGTCTTAGGGAGGGAGCCTGGGTCTTGGGGAGCCTGGGTCTTGGGGAGCCTGGGTCTTGGGGAGGGCCAGGCCTGGGTCTTGGGGAGGCCTGGGTCTTGGGAGGGCCTGGGTCTTGGGGAGGGCCTGGGTCTTGGGGAGGGGCCTGGGTCTTGGGGAGGAGCCTGGGTCTTGGGGAGGGGCCTGGGTCTTGGGGAGGGCCTGGGTCTTAGGAGGGCCTGGGTCTTGGGGAGGCCTGGGTCTTGGGGAGGGCCTGTGGGTCTTGGGGGGGGAGCCTGGGTCTTGGGGCCTGGGTCTTAGGGAGCCTGGGTCTTGGGGAGGGCCTGGGTCTTGGGAGGGCCTGGGTCTTGGGAGGGCCTGGTCTGGGGAGGGCCTGGGTCTTGGGGAGGGCCTGGGTCTTGGGGAGGGGCCTGGGTCTTGGGGCCTGGGTCTGGGGAGGGCCTGGGTCTGGGGAGGAGCCTGGGTCTTGGGGAGGCCTGGGTCTTAGGGAGGGCCTGGGTCTTGGGGAGGCCTGGGTCTTGGGGAGGGCCTGGGTCTTGGGGAGGGCCTGGGTCTTGGGGAGGGCCTGGGTCTGGGAGGGCCTGGGTCTTGGGGAGGGCCTGGGTCTTGGGGAGGGCCTGGGTCTTAGGGAGGGCCTGGGTCTTGGGGAGGGCCTGGGTCTTAGGAGGACCTGGGTCTTGGGAGGCCTGGGTCTTGGGGAGGGCCTGGTCTTAGGGAAGACCTGGGTCTTAGGGAGGGCCTGGGTCTTGGGAGGCCTGGGTCTTAGGGAGGGCCTGGGTCTTGGGGAGGGCCTGGGTCTTGGGAGGAGCCTGGGTCTTAGGGAGGGCCTGGGTCTTGGGGAGGGCCTGGGTCTTGGGGGGCCTGGGTCTTAGGAGAGGCCTGGGTCTTGGGAGAGCCTGGGTCTTGGGGAGGGCCTGGGTCTTGGGGAGGCCTGGTCTTGGAGGGCCTGGAGTCTTGGGAAGCCTGGGTCTTGAGGGAGGGCCTGGGTCTTGGGAGGCCTGGAGTCTTGGGGAGGCCTGGGTCTTAGGAAGGGCCTGGGTCTTGGGGGCTGGGTCTTGGGGGGACCTGGGTCTTGAGGAGAGCCCTGGGTCTTAGGAGGGCCTGGGTCTTGGGGAGGCCTGGGTCTTGGGGGGAGCCTGGGTCTTGGGAGGCCTGGGTCTTGGGGGCCTGGGTCTTGAGGGAGGGCCTGCTGGGTCTTGGGGAGGGCCTGGGTCTTGGGGAGGGCCTGGGTCTTGGGGGCCTGGGGTTGGGAGGAGCCTGGGTCTTGGGGAGCCTGGGTCTTGGGAGGGCCTGGGTCTTGGGGAGGCCTGGGTCTTGGGGAGGGCCTGGGTCTTAGGAGGCCTGGGTCTTGGAGAGGGCCTGGGTCTTGGGGAGGAGCCTGGGTCTTGGGGAGGGCCTGGGTCTTGGGGAGCCTGGGTCTTGGGGGGCCTGGGTCTTAGGGAGGGCCTGAGTCTTGGGAAGAGGGCCTGGGTCTTGGGAGGGCCTGGCTGGGTCTTGGGGAGGCCTGGGTCTTGGGGAGGGCCTGAGTCTTGGGAGAGGCCTGGGTCTTGGGGAGCCTGGGTCTTGGGGAGGGCCTGGGTCTTTGGGGAGGCCTGGGTCTTGGGGGGCCTGAGTCTTGGGGAGGGCCTGGGTCTTAGGGAGGGCCTGGGTCTTGGGGAGGCCTGGGTCTTAGGGAGGGCCTGGGTCTTGGGGAGGGCCTGGGTCTTGGGAAGGGGCCTGGGTCTTGGGGGGCCTGGGTCTTGGGAGACCTGGGTCTTAGAGCCTGGGTCTTGGGAAGGGCCCTGGGTCTTAGGGGGGCCTGGTCTTGGGGACCTGGGTCTTGGGAGGGCCTGGGTCTTGGGGAGGGCCTGGGTCTTAGGGAGCCTGGGTCTTGGGGGGGAGCCTGGGTCTTGGGAGGGCCTGGGTCTTGGGGAGGGCCTGGGTCTTGGAGGGCCTGGGTCTTGGGAGGGCCTGGGTCTTGGGGAGGGCCTGGGTCTTGGGGAGGGCCTGGAGTCTTGGGAGGGCCTGGGTCTTGGGGAGGGCCTGGGTCTTGGGGAGGGCCTGGGTCTTGGGAGGGCCTGGGTCTGGGGAGGCCTGGGTCTTGGGGAGGCCTGGAGTGAGCCTGGGTGGGGAGGGCCTGAGTCTTGGGGAGGGCCTGGGTCTTAGGAGGGCCTGGGTCTTGGGGGCCTGGGTCTTGGGGAGGGCCTTGAGTCTTGGGAAGGGCCTGGGTCTTGGGGAGGGCCTGGTCTAGGGAGGGCCTGGGTCTTAGGGAGGGCCTGGAGTCTTGGGAAGGGCTGGGTGAGAGGCCTGAGTCTTGGGGAGGGCCTGGGTCTTGGGAGGGCCCTGGGTCTTGGGGGCCTGAGTCTTGGGAGGGGCCTGGTCTTGGGAGGGCCTGGGTCTTGGGGAGGCCTGGGTCTTGGGGAGGGCCTGGGTCTTGGGAGGAGGCCTGAGTCTTGGGAGCCTGGATCTGGGGGGCCTGGGTCTTGGGGGGGCCTGGGTCTTGGGGGGGCCTGGAGTCTTGGGGGGGCCTGGGTCTTGGGGCCTGGGTCTTGGGGGGCCTGGGTCTTGGGGGGGCCTGGGTCTTGGGGGGGCCTGGGTCTTGGGGGGCCTGGGTCTTGGGGGCCTGGGTCTTGGGGGCCTGGGTCTTGGGGAGGGCCTGGGTCTTGGGAGAGCCTGGGTCTTGGGAGAGCCTGAGTCTTGGGAGGGCCTGGATCTTGGGAGGGCCTGGGTCTAGGGGGCCTGGGTCTTGGGGGCCCTAGGTCTTGGGGGCCTAGGTCTTAGGGAAAAGCCTGGGTCTTGGGGGCCTGGGTCTTGGGGGGCCTGGGTCTTGGGGGCCTGGGTCTTGGGGGCCTGGGTCTTGGGGGGCCTGGGTCTTGAAGCCTGGGTCTTGGGGGGCTGGGTCTTGGGGGGCCTGGGTCTTGGGGAGGCCTGGGTCTTGGGAAGAGCCTGGGTCTTGGGGGGGCCTGGGTCTGGGGGGGCCTGGGTCTGGGGGGGCCTGGTCTGGGGGCCTGGGTCTTGGGAGGGCCTGGGTCTGGGGGGGAGCCTGGGTCTGGGGGGCCTGGGTCTTGGGGGGCCTGGGTCTTGGGGGGGGCCTGGGTCTTGGGAAGGGCCATAATATAATTGGCACATTACCTCACAACAGTGTGACTGATTCAGTACATTCAAACATGTTAACAAGAGGAGTTTATTGGAAGGCGTTTCCGATGCACGAAATAGGTAACGTGTTAGCTATTCTGTACGCACAGACGCTGCTTTTGATTTGTGTGCATCTCAATTTTAGAGGAAAATGCTAACACCTCTATCAGGCGTTAGCCTTTCGCAGGGCCCGAGCGTCACAAATAGCTAACAACCAACCAGCGATTTCTCCCGGAGAAAATACGCGGATCATGGCCGCTTATGGAGAATATTTTTAATAATATTAAAGCGTTAGAGGCATTTAAGGCAATAAAACACTGTGATATAATAATAAAAATAATTCTATAAATGATAGTACAGTATATTGGATAGGACCTAAAACAGAGAGTATGGCATGAAAGAATTGAAAAGAATTGCACCTAGTTGAAACCTGTCTTGGCTCCACCCTTTGTAGGTGGGTGCTGTCCGATTTCATTAGCCGTCGGTAACTTTGGTGTAACAATATTGATAATTACTAAAATATGATTAAAACTTTAAAATCATTACTCATAAGTTACTTTAAATAAGGGTGAACAAGTTTATTAGTTCTATGAGTGCAAAAACTAAGACAAACGAACCTGAAATTTGTTGTATTATGTGCACAAATATGTGAACACAGCTGCCAGAGAAGCGTAGAGCAGAGCTGTTCTCTGGTTGTTTCTTGTGTTTTCAAGGTCCTTTACAATGGGCCAGATTTTTTTTTCTTATTTATTGTTGACTGATTGACTTTTTCCTTTTTTGTCTTTCTTTCCATAATTTTCAATATATTTTCTTCACTATTTCTTTCCGTATTGTGTCCAAATAACAGTTCTCCTAATTTTATTGGTTTCTGAAGACTGTTGTACAACAGTTATTCCCAAGACGCGATTCAATGTCGTATTTTTTAACGACAGTCCGGGAAAGCTAACGCGTTAGCCATTCCGTGCATCTTAAAACGCCTTACAAAAAACGCCTAAGTCATAGTAAAGTTTTACTCAAGATCACAGAAGACAGCAACTTCCAGACTGAACAGTTATCATGATGGTCAAACACCTAAACTTTCTGGCATATATAAGTTATATTTTTTTCTGTGACACTTGTGTGTTACTAGTAATCCAATTTACTCTTCTGGGTAATGTCTCTGTAATTGATGGATTTTTTATGACATCATGCTCAGACAATACACTGAGGAATCACTCATCAACAGGAGAACAATGCTTAATGTGTGATAAGTCAAACTGATCACATGTAGTTATATGAAGAAAGTGAGTGAGGGTGAGTGTGTGTGTGAAGTAAGAGTTGACACAAACACAGTGCATAACATGACAAAGAACAAACATATGACAAGATGAATATATTTACACATACTGTATGTATATTACTAAAGTATGTCACAAAAGAGTGGCATGTTCTATACAGCAAACTGTATACAAATTCACCAATCTTGTTGTTCTTTTTTTTTCAATCTGCAACAAGGGTAATATTGGACAGTGTCTTACATGTACAGTACTACTACAGTACAGTAGCAGGTAACACAGGCTTCAATGTTCTCACTTACTGAGAGTACAGTACTGTACTGTACCTTGTAGGTAAAGCTGTTGAGGAAGGCTGCCATAGTTGAGTAGTCAGGTAGAGTAAAAGGTCTCTGTTGTTCATACATCTCCAAGTCATCCAGGACTCTGTAGAAAAATATTAAAAAACATAATATGTATAATAACTGGTCTAGGAACCACACACAGCAGGTTGATTATTACTGACACAAGTATTTTCATATGTCAATGTGACAATCATTTTCACATAACTGAACAGTCCTTCAAGGTTCTATTGAAGGTAAATTTAAACAAAATAATTGATCATACTGTTAAGACTTATGTCTACACAAAGACCCACACACATCTGGATGATGCTACAAGTATTTTGTTGCATAAACTCATTGTTGTGGTTGTGACAAGCACAGCTTAATAACAGGGAAGGGAATAATGCCTGCCTCACCTACATGGTACCAGCACAGTAGTGTACACATTAGACACATTAAGTGGTAGAGTTAAAATTCTCAGTCAATTCTTCTGACACATGTTTTACTTTCAACCACTCCATAAAGAGCCACAGTACTGTACTATTGGGGTAAAGATTCTCTGAGTCCCTCCTTATGCTTGGAATCCTCTCAGTAAGTTAACATGTCACAGAGTCAGAGGGACAGTGCCAGTTCACTCACACTGAACTCAATACTTCAGCCTTACATAGGTTCCAGAAGCCCGGCAGTTTTCACACTGTCTTGCCAGGATCATCACAACTCTGTGAGTTTAACTAATTTTACTGAGCAGATGATAAAGGAGTTAAGCTACCAGTTGACAAACACTGACAGGAGTACTGTGGGATGACTGAGCTTATACTGTACTGACATACGTGCACTACCAGTACTGTACTGGAGACATCAAAACTTACACCACCAGTACTGTACTGGTGTCATCACAACTTACACCACCAGTACTGTACTGGAGACATCACAACTTACACCACCAGTACTGTACTGGAGACATCACAACTTACGTCACCAGGTGAGTGGTGGCATCACAACTTACGTCACCAGGTGAGTGGTGGCATCACAAAAGAGCACCAACATGTGGAATTCTGGCGCCGTGGCTTTGGTGGACACAGATAGGAGGTCGAGGAAGCTCTTGAGCCCACACAATGGTCCAAGAGACAGGAGGACCTGCCACAGCTGACCAACCATTTCACTCTTGTAGCACAAACCTGCCATTATTAACACATACAGTAATGTTAAGTACGGTACAGTGCAAGTGACAATATGGTCACTACTTAAGTTATTATTCAGAAGCACCTTAGTACAGTACTACAGTATATCACTTCTGTACAGTAAAGCCCTTTGTCATCATCTTGTTCAAAAACCCCCAAAACATAGATATACTGTATAACATCAGACAAAAAATCATTGTTCAAAGTATCTTCACAACAGTGTGTAGGTGGAAGCAGGTTAGTGGTGTAAGGGTCAGCACCTGCAGGTATTAACACATTGTGTAAGGGTTCCCTTCTCACCTGAATAAAATCGTCTGGTGTTGGCCAAATAAAATATTAAAAGTATCGTCCAATAGTGAAGAGATTAACAGTGCCTGAAATTGTTCTAATAATAATAAATAATAATAATAATAATAATAATAATAAACGGTTTATTAATAGAGTTGCAGCCGGTGGCTGAAAATATACACTTACATTTGATTTAGACAAAATGATATAAAATGCATTGAATACATTTACAGGGCCGTACAGTACATAAATCAGGCGTTGTCTATTATTTTAACAATAGATGGGATGGTGCTATTCTTATATCTATCGGTGCGGGCTCTTATGGGCTGAATTTTGTTGTAGTGGCGGACTGTGCGAGGTGGGTGGGGGGCTGCCGGTGGCAGCAGGTGGCGATGACGAGGGTGGTGCAATAGTTGGCTGCCAAACCTTTCCAGTGCTTGGTGGTGGAGGTCACTGAGGGATGGCATTTCCAGGGTGGAGAGAGTGTTGGTGTAGCCGGAGTAGTCAGCACTGAGCATGATTCTGCAGGCCCTTTTCTGTACCTTCTCTAGGTGACGTTGGGTGGAGTTGAGGGAAGACGACCAGGCTGGTGACGCATACATTAATTTGGGGAGAATAAAGGCGTTGTAGATGGTCCTCAGCTCTGGCGTGGGTGTCCCAAGTGAACTAAGTCGTCATAGCATGTAGAGACGGTACGAGGCTGCCTTCACTGTGTTATTTACATGGGCCTTCCAGTCAAGTTTGTTGTCTATAGTTACACCCACGAGTTTCTATGATGGCAATTGTGTTTACAAAATGTTTCCACTTTTAACAGCAATACTGTATCCATAATATGACACTGATGGAGGATCAGCATTTTTTCACACTTCATTTTATAAACATTTGTGGCGTGAGATCCAATTTTCCTTCTGTGGAGCACTATCTATTAGCCTCTTCCCCTGACTTCTTACTACTTTCCAAACTTCAACTGTCCAAAGCAGTTTCACCCAAACCCTTTCAAGTCTCCAACTACAACCTTCATACCTCTTTCCGCCTACTGCAACACACGTACACCCAAAGCCCGACTCACAGATCTTAAATCTTCCCTTTATGATGTCATCTGGCTCAAAATATTTCTACCAACTGTGACTATTTTTCTGTTTCCTATACTGTTCTCCCAACTATTTCGAACTCTTTGACTATCTCACTTCTTGCCATGAGTCGTTGCTATCCACACACCCCAACAAGGTCCTCTACCTAGGGGATTTCAATGTACATCACAGACAGTGGCTTGGTTCTGCAAGGGATGACCCAGGTGGAGCTGAGGCACGCTCTTTTTCCCTACTTAATGATTTGGATCAAATAATCAAACACCCTACACGTGTTCCTGATCGACACGATCAACTTGCTAACATTTTTCATCTTTGTTTTACCTCTAACCCCTCACACTATTCATACTCAATTTCTGCCCCCTTAGGGTCTTCTGATCACAATCTTATTTCTATTAAATCAAACTGGGCACGGCCACCTCCCCCACCTCCCTCTAAATGTCAACTATGGCACTATCGGAGGGCAAGTTGGCAATCCTTGCGAGAATTCTTCACCGACTTTCCTTGGGATGAATGTTGCTTTTCCACTCGGGATGCCCCAGTATGTGCTGGCAGCATTGCTGGGGTTATACAGGGCGGTATGAGTGCATTTCTCCCATCTTCTACCAAAACTTTCACATTACAATCATGGTTTGATAGCTCCTGCTCTCTGGCAGGGCATATCGAGTTATGAAACTATCTCCTTCTCCTATTACCCACGCCTCTTTCATTACTTCTAGGAATCGCTGTAAGGCTATTCTTCGTAGGGCCAAACAGAATTTTAGAAAAAGAAAGGCCGCTGTCCTGACTAATTCTTCCTCTAGTAAATCCTTCTGGTTCTTAACTAAAAAAATCTGTAACAACTTCTGCACTCCTTCTTTTCCTCCTCTTTTCTGAGGGAATGTGCTGAAGCTCTGGCCCCTGTGCTTGCTCGCCTCTTTCGCCTCTGCCTCAAAACCCAATCTTTTTCTTTTTCTTGGAAGCATGCCTTGGTTCAGCCCATCCTGAAGAAGGGTGACCATTCTAATCCCTCTAACTATCGCCCCATTGCCCTAACTTCATCCCTCTCTAAGATTTTCAAAACTATCTTGAACTCCCATTTTCTCCGTACCTTGAACGCCATTCTCTTTTGTCAGATCACCAGTATGGCTTTTGCCAAGCGAGATCTGCTGGTGATCTGCTCTCCTATTGCACCCATCTTTGGTCATCCTCTCTTAGGGATTATGGAGAAACTTTCGTCGTGGCCCTCAACATCTCCAAAGCATTTGACAGGGTATGGCACAAGTCTTTGCTATCTAAACTTTCCTCTTATGGATTCTCTCCCCCATTTTGTTTTCTAATCTCTAGCTTCCTTGAGAACCGATCCATGGCAGTTGTTGTCGAGGAATCGATCTCTCGCTTTTTCTCTACCAATAGTGGTGTCCCACAGGGTTCTGTTCTTTCACATATTATCTTCCTTCTTTTTATCAATGATTTAATTCACACTACAGTACAACTAATTCTATCCATTCTTACGCTGATGATTCTACTCTTCACTCTTCCTCACATTTTCCCCTTCCTCCCAACTCTCAAACTAGATCGGAATGGGGAGGTACAAACTTGGTTAAATTCTATAGTTATAAAACTCAGTACAGTGGTTCCTCAGTTAACGAATGGTTCGATTAACGAAATTTCGGTTAACGAATTACCTTCCATAAGAATCTTCAATTCGGTTTAACGAACAAAACTTCGATTAGCGAAATCCTTACGAACGTTTTGTTGTGGGCATCAGCTGATGGGCTAGTCTGCCAATTCAGTAATCTTTTCTATGTTTACATTTGTTTCCAGTGGAGTAAATATCAAGAAAATTATGCTCTTTAATATTTGTGCAAAATGAATACTAAAATTTTAGTCTAGTGCAAACTACAGGTTGTACCTCTCTAGTCCGGCATTCTGTGGTTCGGAAACGCCCGTGGTCCGGAACAATTTTAGTTTGTCCAATAGGTAGATAGGCAGGATTTTTTCCTTTTTTTTTTTTTTACTTATGTGAATGATTATTACAGGAGTATTAAATTTTTGCCCCTCAGGCCCCAATGTGGGTCAGTGACCTATGCCCGGGTGGGCTAATCCCCTTAAAAAACAAAAACAAAAAAACAAAGCCGCGGGAAATTAAGGTTTGTTTACATCCAGCAGTTCGGCTGCTCTCTCTCTCTCTCTCTCTCTCTGCTTGTCTATACATAGTACAACATTTAACCCTTCAATATATATGAGCAGTAAATAAGTGTTGCTTTCATATTCTTATGTAGAGTAATGACGATATATTTTCACATGTGCGCACTTACATACGCGCAGTCTCACTTTTTTTTACCATTAATGGTTAGCTACTTATATTGTTCCATTTATTAACATTAAATAACATTACAGGTACAGTGACCCCTCGTTTAACGAACACCTCGGTTAACGTAATTTCGATTAACGAACTGCCTTCCATAAGGATCTTCAATTCGGTTAACGAAAAAAAATTCGCTTAACGAACTTCTTACGAAACGACCTCAACATGTTTTCGCTTGCACTGACAGGGCAACCAGCTTTAGTATCAGTCCGCCAATACATTAATCGGTTCTAGGGCTTAAATTCCTTACTATTTTTGTAAATATCAAGAAGTTTATACTATTCAATAATTTTAAAAGTTTAATATTCAATTTTTTAGTCATTTTAACAATTATTGAACAAAATTGAAGGTAAAGTGACTAGTTTAATGCGCGGCATCCAGCCTCTTTACACAGCAAACAGGCGTCAGTCTCTCTCTGTTTTCACTGGAGGTAACATCTTGCTTGAGACTCTCTTCAACTAAATGCTTTTTTTCTGTGTTTCCAAGCAAATTATTGGTCATTTTGAAATATATTTTATATATTGACAATATATAATGCAGTGCAGCATTGATTTAAAGAAAATAATCTTGAATTAAACCAGAGAGCTAAAATTTTATGGGTGAAATGGCACCATGGGGTGACTTCTCTTCCACCCCAATGCCTTCTCTTCTTCCTTCTCCTCCACCCCCATTCTAAATCCATCATCATCATCATCATCCAGGAGCCTTCTACATACACACCTCAAAGTAAGTGAACTTTTCTACCATTTTTGTTGAATTTAGGAAATTTTCGGTGAGCTGGAACCAATTACCCAAAAACCCATTGAAACAATGGTTTCGGTTAACGAACGTTTCGGTTAACGAACGACCTTCTGGAACGGATTGAGTTCGTTAACCGAGGGGCCACTGTACTTCAAACAACCATATTAATTTTTTTACATTAATTTTACTACAGCTAAAATCAGGGTCTTATTTTCTTCAGTTTTATATGTAGAACCAATCAGTCGCTGGTTTCGTAAGCTTTAACATAAACAATGCCGGCAGCGGTCTCGTCTCCTCTAACATTCGACGTATTATTAATAAATTGTATTGTTAATTTTGCACACGCACACATAAATTCAATAAAAACAAATTCAGAAACATTAATTAAAATATATATGAACAGTAAATAAGTGTTGCTTTCATATTCTTATGTAAAGTAATGACGATATGTTTTCACGTGTGCGCACTTACATACACGATCTCTCTTTTTTCTTTACCATTATTGTTAGCTACTTTTATTGTTCCAT